TCTGGGGGTGAGTATAACACCGAACATATCTCCTGAGGCGCACATCAATCAGATAACTGCTGCAGCATATGGGCGCCTGGCAAACCTACAGATAGCGTTCCGATACCTCAGTAAGGATTCGTTCAAGACTCTGTATACCATTTACGTCAGGCCCATACTGGAGTATGCAGCTCCAGTTTGGAATCCACACCTAGTCAAGCATGTCAAGAAATTAGAGAAAGTGCAAAGGTTTGCAACAAGACTAGTCCCAGAGCTACGGGGATTGTCCTACGAAGAAAGGTTGAGGGAAATCGGCCTGACGACACTGGAGGACAGGAGGGCCAGGGGAGACATGATAACGACATATAAAATACTGCGTGGAATAGACAAGGTGGACAAAGACGGGATGTTCCAGAGAAGGGACACAGACACAAGAGGTCACAATTGGAAGTTGATGACTCAGATGAATCAAAGGGATATTAGGAAGTATTTCTTCAGTCATAGAGTAGTCAGGCCTTGGAATAGCCTAGAAAGTGACATAGTGGAGGTGGGAACCATACATAGTTTTAAGGCGAGGTATGATAAAGCTCATGGGGCAGGAAGAGAGAGGATCTAGTAGCAATCAGCGAAGAGGCGGGGCCAGGAGCTATGACTCGACCCCTGCAACCACAAATAGGTGACTACAAATAGGTGAGTAGAATATCATACTTAGCAGCATACGTTTGGAGAACCTAGGGTAACCCAAAAAAGTCAGACAGACTTATTTCCATTAGGGTCCCTGTACCCTGTACCATATGGTATAATGTACCATATGGTATAATGTACCATATGGTACAATGTACTATATGGTACATTGTACCATATGGTACCATTGTAACATATGATACCACTGTGCCATATACCACTGTACCATATGGTACCATTGTACCATATGGTACCATTGTACCATATGGTACCATTGTACCATATGGTACCATTGTACCATATGGCACAATAGTACCATATGGTTCAAAACCATAGAATTCGTCTTCAGCTCCACTTCCATCAGTCTTAGAATTGTAAGTTGTGAGGAGGAGAGTCAAAATTCACCCAGAGAGTGAGTGGGGAGTGAGAGCTTATTTGCCGCCAGGCACCATGAACAAAGCTACTTTGCCGCGTTCCCACAATGCCATGCGGGCGTCCGGATTTTTTTTATAGTGTGCACACTGACCGCCCAGACCCATTCTCTCAGATGTAGGCCTACCAGCCTTCTCGCGCTAAATTTAGCGCCGCTAGAATTTTGGCGTAGATCTACGGTTTGGACCCTGAACATCTTTTTCTACGGGACAGACCCTGAAAGGGTTAATGCCACTAGGACCAGCTGACCGTAGTGCAGCAACAGCTGACCGCCGTGCAGCAACAGCTGACTTTGGTGCAGGAGCAGCTGACCGTGGTGCAGCAACAGATGATGGTGGTGTAGCAGCAGCTGACTGTGGTGCAGCAGCAGCTGACCATGGTGCAACAGCAGCTCACTGTGGTGCAGCAACAGCTGACCATGGTGCAGCAACAGCTGACTTTGGTGCAGCAGCAGCTGACCGTGGTGCAGCAACAGGTGACGGTGGTGTAGCAGCAGCTGACTTTGGTGCAGCAACAGCTGACCGTGGTGCAGCAACAGCTGATGGTGGTGTAGCAGCAGCTGATTGTGGTGCAGCAGCTGCTGACCATGGTGCAGCAACAGCTGACCATGGTGCAACAGCAGCTGACCATGGTTCAGCAACAGCTGACTGGTGCAGCAACAGCTGACCGTGGTGCAGCAACAGCTGACCGTGGTGCAGCAACAGCTGACGGTGGTGCAGCAGCAGCTGACCGTGGTACGATAGTACATATTTCTCACCCTTTTTACCACAGGGTTGGTACTAGAAGCTTTCTTTGGGCCCATGGTGGCTTATTTAGCACTATAAACAATGGAATAATACAAAATGTATCGAATGTATGCATGTAACCGGCCACCCTGGCTTGTAAACAATGACGGCAGGGCAGCCGAGGCGCTCAGGCTGGACGGACAGGTTCGGGATGAGTCATGTTGGTCTTGTTAGGACTTTAGGTAGCACGTTCTTTTCCGGAGTTACTTCCCTTCTTCTTTTAATGCCACTAGGACCAGCTGACCATAGTGCAGAAACAGCTGACTGTCATGCAGCAACAGATGACTTTGGTGCAGCAGCAGCTGACAGTGGTGCAGCAGCAGCTGATGGTGGCGCAGCAGCAGCTGACTGTGGTGCAGCAGCAGCTGACCGTGGTGCAGCAGCAGCTGACCGTGGTGCAGCAGCAGCTGACAGTGGTACAGCAGCAGCTGACCATTGTGCAGCAGCAGCTGACCATTGTGCAGCAGCAGCTGACCATTGTGCAGCAGCAGCTGACCATTGTGCAGCAGCAGCTGACTGTGGTTCAGCAACAGCTGACTGTGGTGCAGCAGCAGCTGACAGTGGTGCAGCAACAGCTGATGGTGGTGCAGCAGCAGCTGACTGTGGTGCAGCAACAGCTGATGGTGGTGCAGCAACAGCTGACCGTGGTGCAGCAGCAGCTGACCGTGGTACGATAGTACGTATTTCCCACCCATTTTACATATGATCGCTTGAGAGATGGTATCTCCTGCTATCTATTTTTCATTTATCCACACCAATAACAGTCTCTCAACATCTTCGAGTACTTGCGATCTCTGTTTCAAAAACAAACTTGCACCTTTTGCAAGAACAGCTTCCTTGATTGCCGTTTTCTTGGCCACAATAGTAGCGGTGGTTGATTGGGGTTTGGTATACAACCTGGCCAGCTCCGAGATACGCACTCCACTTTTGTACTTAGCAATTATCTCTTTCTTCATTTCCATAGTAATTTTCAGCTTTTTTACTGCATGGTTGGCACTAGAAGCTTTCCTGGGGCCCATGGTGACTTATTTTGCAGGTACAATCACTAAAAACGCTGTGATAATATGAAATGTACCAATTGTATGCATGGATACGACGGCACTGGCTGGCTTGTAAACACTGGCACCCACAGGGCAGCTGAGGCGCGCTCAGGCCACACGTGAGGCGAGTGTTTTAGCGTGAGATGAGGCAAAATTTTTGCATTAAAATGTATCGTATGGCGGATTTAACGTATCACGATTTTTCTTTCTTGTTCTTCTTGTTTATTTCCTCTTATCTCCATGGGGAAGTGGAAAAGAATTCTTCCTCCGTAAGCCATGCGTGTTGTAAGAGGCAACTAAAATGCCGGGAGCAAGGGGCTAGTAACCCCTTCTCCTGCATAAATTACTAAATTTAAAAAGAAAAACTTTCATTTTTCTTTTTGGGTCACCCTGCCTCGGTGGGATACTTTTTAATTTATAAATAAGAAATATTTACATTTTAATTTATAAATAAGTAAGTAAGTTTATTCAGGTATACACAAATACAGTTACGTACATAGATTATCATACATAGCAGCATATGTGTAAAGTACCTAGGATAACCCAAAAAAGTCAAGAATGACTTATTTACATTGGGGTCCTTTTATATTTACACTTATATTTACTTTTATACTTACACTTTTATATTTACATTTGCCCTGGAGATGTTAGTTTAATTAGTTAGTTTGATGAAGGAGATGCTGGCAGAGGTTTAGGGTGGTGGAAGATAGCAGGGCGGCATATGTTCAGTGGTCCTATACACATCCAATAACATTGGAGAGTTACTTTCATGTCGTTTTTCTATCGCTTAATCGCTTAACTTACTTGCTACACTGTTAATTCTACACTTTATTGCTGGCTGGAGCTATAGCCTTTATCAATACCTGCTGCTTTAGTATCATACATATTGTAGAGTCACTGAATCACTGCAGAAGGCACATTCTCCCCTCTCTCTTCCTCCTCTACTTTGGTACTTTGCTACGAGTTTTTTCTTGAATTCTATCGTGTTTCTCACCTTCTTTACCAAAGGGCTGGCACTAGGAGCTTTCTTTGAGCCCATGGTGGCTTAATTAGCAGTGCAAGCACAAAAAACAATGGATTCTTATGAAATGTGTTGTATGAACCCATGGGGTGACGGTCATGCGCTGGTAAACAATGGCACACTGAGTGTGAATAGTGCAGGAGACAGGCTTTATGTGCGCACTGACGGGCGGACGCGTACCAGACAGTTGCCGAATCACGAGTCCAAACACGAACCACGGAGCTAAATTTTGCTGAAAAAACTTGCCTAAAATCAGATTTCATGAAAATCGCAACCGCCGAATGGTGGGGGTCCACTGTACTGTAGTATCACAAGAAGTGCTATTAGCATTATTTTATTTTAAACTATTCATATTATTTTATTAGCAAGGCAGTACTTTATTTGCGAGCATAGAGGATATGTAAAATTTGCTAAATGTTACAAAATGCTTATCTCACACACCCCTGGCTTAATAACAATTAGTACCATCAGCATTTGAGCAGCTCACCTCTGGCTTAATAATAATTAGTACCATCAGCATTTGAGCAGCTCACCTCTGGCTGCACATACTAAGTGAACAACAGGCAGGTGCATCTCAACCTCTGTAGCTTGTAAACAAAGAACCAGGTCAACCAGGAGAGTGAGGAGCTACTACAGTGTCATGTGTTTGGTGAGTAAAAAATTAAGAATACTATTTACAGATGATGGACATTTTCATTGGCTAAGGGTCAATGTGAATGCTTCCACTAGGTGGGTTAAATAATATAACAAATATTTATATAAAAGAGATGCTATATAATCTATTCACACTTTGAAAATCACTGTTACCAGAGACTCAATGCTTCAGTATTTTCTTACCAACAAAACTCTGAATAAAAAATATTTTACAAAAGATTCCAAACAGAGAAGAGTTGAGGATGATAAGTCAGGCATGAATTTCAAAAAAGTGAGAAATAATAAATATCTATCACAGTAAAAGATATATTCAATGGGAAATAAAGCAACAGGGATGCACTTCAAATGAACCATAACACAATATCAGAGAGTTAAAGGACATTTTTTCCTTGACCCAAGTCTTACCTTGGTAAATACTCCTTTACTAACAGAGATGATCATCTCCATAACTTTCACATATCTCTGGCAATATAAGGGAGGAGAGAAGATAATACTATCATCATATATACACAATGTACCATTGCTGCCATCCTCAATCTTCTGTCTCAACATTCTGTTTTCACACAAGGTTGTTTCACCATTCTCTGGAGGTAAAAAGCAATAATGTGTCATTAGAAAAGTAAGAGGGACTATACAACCAATAATACATAACAGAAATTGATTTTGAGAAGAATAAAATCATATTAGAACAAAACTGAAGAATGAGGTGGATGTGGGGGGGGGGGTGAACGATGGGATACCTGAAGTAGACTAATGTGAACTGTATTACATAAAAAAAATAATGAGATGTAATGAGGTGACTTCTTCAAAAGATAAGCCACTAAAGGAAACTAAGTTTATGACATTTTAAAACGTAGAAAATAAATTCTTGCTAGAAGAGAGCACAATCCATGACACACTCCAATAAATACTGCCTTTCTCTTAATGAAAAAGAAAACAAGCTCTGAGTCACCATAAATCAATTAAAAAAATAGAACCCAGCAAATAGAAACAGTTGAAAAATATCCACCCAAACTAGAAAGCATCAAATGCACCTTGGAATGTAATACCATAGTGCAATCCTTTGGTATATTACAGTTTACCCTCAGCTAACAATGGCATCACCTAACGCTAAATCCAGCTAACGATACATTTTAACGCAAACATTAACCTCAGCTAACGCTAAAAAACTCACCTAACGATATTCGTTCTCAGGTACCAATTAATATCGTTAGGTGAGGGTCCACTGTATTTTTTTAACATTTTGGCCATCTCTTACCAAGGAAAAAAAAAATTAATTAAAATTCTTTAGTTCTCTATTGATATTACAATGTTGGATTTACATATTATAAAATATTGTTGCATATTATAAAATACTTATTACAAAGAAGGCCACTATTATGCCTAGGTATGCCTAGGCATTTCGGGCAGACTAATACTAATTGCTACTCTATATTGACACAGGTTATGGATCATACTGATATTAAAGTTAGGTAGCTGTAGTGATTAACTAGATTTACAAGTGAGGTAGTTCAAAACATTTAAGAAATTAACAATTAGTTTATCTATTAATGGGAATGGTGTTGTCTTGGCATGAAACAGTTTCTATTAAAGCTCCTCTATTGGAGTGTCCTAGACAAACTATGACTACCTTAAGAATTATGAAGCAAAAGCTATATTCAAAATTTTGTTTACAGTCATCAGTGTAAATTAGGGGAGTCACAGATATCAAATAAGTGTATTTTGTTTTGGATATGTGCAAGGTAAGGTAGTTTTCATGTGGTTAGGTAGGGTGACCTGACACTTTCATTGTCACTTATTCAATCACTGTCTTGCCAGAAGGACACCAAATCACAATATCCCCACCCATCCTTCATCTACTGTACTTATTTTTAGTAATTATATCAGCTAATTATTTATTCATTTATTTTTTATTTGGACATGATACATAGTTGTACAAAGAAATACGTATAGTGAATGGGTGTACATGCCAAAAGCCCCTTGTATGCAGAGCATTATGGGCAGGCTTAAAATTAACTTAAGATTAACTAAGCAATGGTATATTCAGTGGTAAAAATTACAGTAAACAAATTACAACATGAAGAATTGAGACACTTATGCAACCCATGGGAATCTTTATTGAAGAAACGTTTTGCCACACAGTGGCTTCATCAGTCCAATACAAAGTAGAAATGGATAAGGAGAGGAGAAGTTTGAGGTAATCAGTCCCTCAACCTGGAATCGATGTGTTCAGTCCATCACTCTTGTAGGAAATGCAGCATAGGGCCAGAGAGGTGGCTTATATACTGCTTATATATGCTGCATTTCCTACAAGAGTGATGGACTGAACACATTGATTCCAGGTTGAGGGACTGATTACCTCAAACTTCTCCTCTCCTTACCCATTTCTACTTTGTATTGGACTGATGAAGCCACTGTGTGGCAAAAGGTTTCTTCAATAAAGATTTCCATGGGTTGCATAAGTGTCTCAATTCTTCACGTTGTCGGTTTTCTAAACCATTCATCACAAAATTACAACATGAAGAACAAATGAGTATTTCAAATAAGAAGCACTAAAGTTATACAAATTTGTAGCATAACAATGTATAATATAACTGAATCAGATCAAGTAAAATCAATGATTTGTAGTGCAGAAACAGGTCATGTGGTCATTAGATGAGTTACTGTGCATTCAAGAGAATGGAGTATTCTATTAAGTAACGTATTTAAAAAAAAACATAGTTTGATAGGGTCACAGGTTATACATTTATGAGATTCAGTTATTCAGTATTTATTTAGTTGTGGTTGAGTAAGTGTTTTTAAGAAGAGTCTTGAATTAATAAACAGACAGTATTTCTTTTATATTCACAGGTAATGAATTCCAGATTTTTGAGCCTTTTATGTGAATTGAGCTTTTACATAGTGGTTGAGGGACTGATTACCTCATTCTCCTCCTGTTCTTCACGTTTCTCCTTTGATTGGACTGATGAAGCCACTGTGTGGCGAAACGTTTCCTCAATAAAGATACCTAAGAGTTGCACATGTGTCTAATTTATCAACGTGTCGGTTCTCTGAACCATTCATCTACAATAAGTATGGATGTTTTGTACGGTGAGTAAGTTTAGAGTTTTGAATATTAGTGGAGTATGCTGCCTGGATTGGGAATTTGTTATCATTCTGACTGCAGCCTTTTGTTGGGTAATTAATGGTCTGAGATGATTTATTGTTGTTGAGCCCCATGCACAAATTCCATAGGTGAGATAAGGGTAAATTAGTGAGTGATATTACAGGTTGACCATCACTAATCCAGCACCATCAAGACATGTAGGGTGCTGGATTAGTGATTTTGCCGGATTACAGAGTAGTTAGGTTAGAATACACTTAACCCAACGGCGATATTTATGTATCGGCGATTTCACCCACTTTACACCCTATTTTTGGCCCATTCCATTGTTCCAGTCTACCAAACTTATACCTATTTCACTAGTATTCCTTCTATTCTGTTGACTGAGTACAAGAAACCGCCCATTTACGTATTCCAGCTACCCAGTAAAATGGTCGGAAACTGGTAATTTGGCCAATTTCACACAAATTTCAAGAGATGCCAATTTCAAAATAGGGTCCAGAATAAACAATGCAAACATTCCTGGCATTAAAATAACATTTTCTCTGTTCATTAGTCATATCTCCAGGCCCCTCTTATAATACGCTTGCTTTACATTTGGAATTTTTATTCACTCAAAAAATAGAAGATTTACTGTTATGCAGATTACTACATTATTGCAATAAATGTATAAATGATGTCAACCCATTCATGACTGCATATTAGACCAGCCACTTGGACACGTAATGGATGGTGACGTCATTTGCTTACTCTTGAACATCAGCGAAAATCAAACATTTCTGCTAGTTTGAACTCAATTTCAAGGTACAGTGGAACCTCTACTTACGAGTTTAATACGTTCTGTGACCTTGCTTGTATCTGGATTTGCTCATTTGCAGAGTTTTCCTCATTTAAATTAACTGAAGTGCAATTAATCCGTTCCAGCTCTCAGGAAGCGCAACAAGATACTTCAATATTTCGCTAATATCATCTATACAGCTTATTTATCTATCTCAATTCATCTAATATGACATAATAAACAATAAAAATAACATAGAAACTTGATATATACTCTAGAATGAAAAAAATACGTCACTATGTGACAGGTGGGGGTGGCCACAACCACCCCCACATTGTTGTGGCAATCACTGCCATCCAGTGATGACCTTTTGAAGCCATCTATTATTATAATTAATATTATATAGTACATCATTATTATACATGTATTATATATGAGTACTGGAAATGGGAAGTACAATGCCTGCACTTTAACCCTTTGACTGTTTCGGTTGTATATATACGTCTTACGAGCCACCGTGTTTGACAAATATATACTCAAAAATTCTAGCAGCTTCAAATCAAGCAGGAAAAAGCTGGTAGGCCCACATGTGAGAGAATGGGTCTGTGTGGTCAGTGTGCACCATATAAAAAAATCCTGCAGCACGCAGTGCATAATGAGAAAAGAAAAACTCCGTGTTTTTGGATTAAAACGCCGACTTTGTGAATGGAAAACTTAGTATAGAAACAGAGGTGATATTGAAATGGAACTCAAAGTAGGGGAAATGTTTGATTTTTGCCAATGTTCGAAAGTAAACAAATGATGTCATGTCCAATAAATGTCCAACTAGCAATTCTAATATGCAGTCATGAATGAGTTGACATTATTTATACAATTATTACAGTTTTTCTTTTTCGGGCCACCCTGCCTTGGTGGGAATCGGCCAGTGTGATAATAAAAAAAAATAAAAAAAATATTACAATATTGCAGTAGTCTGCATAACAGTAAATCTTTTATTTTTTGTTTGAATAAGAATTCAAAATAGAAAGCCAGAGTAATATCAAAGGAGCCTGGAGACGTGACTGATGAACAAAGAAAATGTTATTTTTGAGCTAGGAATGTCTGCACTGTTCATTCTGGACCCTATTTTAAAAATTTCTGACCATGTTATTGAGAAGTTGAAATTGGTAAATGAGAAGCTTCTTGTACTCAATAGATAGAACTCTATTGAGTTCTAAAGAAATAGCTATGAGTCTGGTTGACTGGAACAGAAAATAGGGCTCAAAGTGGGTGAAATCGCCGATTTGTAAATATCGCCGAGGTCGCTACATTCACGAGAAAGTAATTCCGTACATTTTCCATCAAATTTCGTTCTTTTGGTGTCATTACCATCGGGAAAAGATTTTCTATCATTTCATAAGAAATTTTTATTTTTTTTTTTTCAAAAATTTTTCGACACCAGAAGACACCTCAGGATTTGAGGCTGCGACAGTCAAAGGGTTAAGAGAGAGGATTTGAGATATTGGCAGTTTGCAGGGGTATGTTTTATATGCTTCTAAACTGTTGTATCTGGGTGCCTCTGCAAAGACAGTGATTATGTGTGAATGAGGTAAATGTGTTGAATGATGAAAGTATTTTCTTTTTTGGAGATTTTCTTCCTTTCTGGGTCACCCTGCCTTGGTAGGAGGTAGCCGACTTGCTAAAAAAAAAAAAATGTATTGTTA